TTCAAGCTATTCTGAGATCTGGCATTTCAATCCATCACTGTCTATATCTGTTAATCCTTGTTATGTGTAGGGAATACTAAATAATGCTTGTTTGTTATTTGAAGATGTTATGAAATGTTCTCAAAATTATGTTTCAGGAGGAAAATAAATTTTTAAATGATGCATTCACACTGATTCTGTTAACAGCTTTATTAGAGTCATTTTAAATGACAGAACAAAGAGCAGTTATTGGAAAACTGTACAGAAATTTTCAATTTTTGTAATACTGGATGCAATTAAAAATAATGCCCAAAAGTGAAACAAAATACTAAGTGTAGAATGTAATGAAAATAACTCTACATGTATTTTCAAATTTCATGTAATTAAGCTACATGTATTAATAAATTTAATTTCATTTTGTAATCAAAATTCTACTAATACTGTAGTGACAAAAAATTATCCAAATAATTTTAGAATTATAATGTACATTATAATTTCCAAAATACATGTGTATGATTTGGAAATTTTAATATTTGACAATCAACGTTTTAGGTTAGATTACATGAAGAAGATACCTGGTAAGGTATAACCCTAATTCATTTCAAGTAAAAAACAAATGATGATATCAAATTGACATTAGAATTGTTTTTGTTACGCAGAAACAAATGATTGAATTATTGCTGAAAAGGAACTTTTCAACCATGTATAAAAGATAAACTTTCATGCATACGAGTATAATGTTGAACTTTGATACCTCTAACTGATATCTCGAACATGTCGAATACTAATATTGATATGTCGAAGAGATTTAGTAGTCCAAACTACTTATTCTCTAAGTATTTTACCCATGATATTACGAATCCTCGGATATCTCAAAGTTTTTTCTCAGTCCCATTGAGTTTGAGATAACTAGGTTTGACTGAAAATACATGGTTAGGTAAAACAGTTGTTTATATTATTGCGTTTTATTCATTAGAAACAAATGATCAAATTATATCCATGAAAAGAAACCTATGGTGGCATATTTCTGCCCCCTACATGCAAGATGGTGGCATATTTCTGCCCCCTACATGCAAGATAAATTATGTTACTTGCGAGAAAAGTATGTCAACATGCAAGATAATTATGTCTACATGCATAATAATTATATTGACATGCAAGTTATCAATCTTTTTCGAAAGTCTAATTTTAATGTTGGTAAACACACTTACTAGAAACCAGAACTTTTTGACTCATTAAAAGATAAAATTTATGCAAAGATACAAAAAAATTGACTATTATTTATTTTCTGCAGGCGCTGGGCTTAACTAAAATCCATTAACATTATTCAAAATTCATTATTGTACACATTTCTTAAACAATGACAGGGTTGGTTTGTTTGAAAAAAAATGTAACAGTATACATATAATATTGATATAACAGAAATAAAAATTAAGTAAGTAATTTATTCATTTATAGTGACATGTGTACATGAATTATTTTGTTTACAAACTGTATGAAAAAATCAATCGACACCCGGCCCATCAGACCTATATGCCATTTTAAACAAAAATTGAAATACAATGTATAAAGAAAATAAAGAGCACAACGATAAGAGATATACAAAAAAGTACATAGAAAATATACATAATGTTTAGGAGAAACCATTATATACTGTCATTGACACTGAGATACATTTTATAAACAACATTCTTATTTTTTGAAAATAACATAAGCGAAAAATACTTGTCAAACACTTTGCAATTTAACCTGTCGAGGATAATTTAAAATAAGTATACGTAGTACATAAATATCAGACCATGCTTGCATTAGATTAAAACCAGTGTTTTCAAAGAGTTTTGTCCAATATTCAGAGTAAAATGGACAGTGAAATAAAAAAATGAATTTCGTCTTCTACATTATTTCTAGACCAAAAGGTGCAAATTTGATCCTCAGCAGGTTCACCGTGATATCATCCCACATCTAAATTGCGCCAAAATTGAACTTAGATATTTAGGCATATCAAGTACTAAATAATTTTCCCTATCAAAAATAAATTGTTCTAAAATAAACATAAGTCCGCAATTTGGGAATACTTAAAATCTCATTGCTCCAAAGGTTTGAGTAATACCGTAATTGTGTATTTTTATTGACCCATATTTATATCTACCATAAGCATCCAGGGGTCCGTTTTACAGAAGAACTTTCGGCTAAGACCAAAAACTTTTACTTCTGTTTGTATAAAAATATCTTTCTAGATTCTTTTTAAAAAGATTGATACCATTTTCAAAATAATGTAAAAAGGAGTTATTTGCAAAACAACATTTTGATCTTAGTCGTAAGGTCTTTTAATTTGTAAAACGGGTCCAGTTCTCGATGATGTATTATCTCTTTCAAATCACTGTACCAGTTATTCCTACACCTACTGTAATCAACTTCAAATACATTTCTTGTAATTTGATCATTGCCAAAGGATAAAACTTTATTCTAAGACTCTGATTACATTTATCCAACGTCTATATTGACTAGCTGGGAATCCATCCATTGTCCCCATAAACCGCCAATGTGGGAGCAAAGCAGTGTACCCCAATAAAATACCGAATAGCTCTGTTTTGAAAATTATCTATTAATACTGGTTGTAATTTTTTGAAACCCCAGACACCGGATGCATAATCCAAAGCAGATATTATACACAAGAGTAAAATAGTTTTTCATAAGCATTAAACCTGAAATCTTTATTCTAGTATGAATGGAAGATATAATTTTCCCAAGAGCACGTCCACCCACTTTAGCAAGATTTTCTGTATTTTTTTCATGAAATTACCAGTGTGCGTAAACGTTATACTAGTACCCAAATACATGTACTTATAATTTTCAACTGTTTCTACATTGTATCTTATTCAGTCCGATAGTGAATTCAAAATTAGTTAATTGCTCTTCACCTAGTTTGATTAAAATGTATTCACTTAGATTTATTTGTTGGTGTTTATAAGAACTCTCCAACGTCTACACCAGCTATGTAATTTATTTAAAATACTTTGTAAATCTTCTGGAGACTTGGCTATTAAAGCAGTGTCATCTGCGTATATTGAGATAGACTATTTTCGATTTACTAGTTCTATATATAAATTAAGTTTGTTAATATCCTGTGCCAGATCATTGATGAAAATTGAAAATGAGTTAGGGGATAAATTATCTCCCTGTTTAACGCCAGTTTTGCACCTAAACCAATTTGTGAGCTTATAATAAACAAGTAGACATGATTCTGAGCTTTGAAAAATATTTTTATCGAGTTGTAAATTTTACCATTATTATGTATTACAAAAGTTTGTACTTTGTAAAGCATCAAATCTCTCTTGACAAAATCAAAACATATTTGAAGATCAATAATGCAACATAAATAATATTTAAACATAAATTTTTATTGTTTTGGACTAAACTACTCAACGTCACTAAATGATCTTCACACGATCTATCCTTTCTTAAACCATTTTGTTCATCTGCTAGAATATCGTTATTTTCTAAATAACTCATGATTCTTTTGTTCATAAAGATAAAAATATATCTACTTCTAATTTTAAGAAATTAATCATGTTAATTATAAAAAAAAGATGATTTTGTATTCTGTAAGTGTAGGTAACTGCTGGAAAAAAAAAAACATTGATAGCTGTGGAATTCATAAATTGTACCAGCCTGATCATTAGTTAATATTTAACTCATAGCTTCATTAAAATTAACAAGGTTTAATACCACAATGTGAAGCGTCCATACATTATGCTTCCTTTATCTTGTTTACAAGAACACAGATTGCCGTAATTATATTTAGTTAAATTCATTATACTGTGTATATACTAGTAACTGTCCGCTACCTAGATTTATCCTTTTTCTGTTTAGCGTAAATAATTCATATTGCTGAACTTTTTTTCCATTAATTCATGTGGATCTTTCTCTATTCCATGTTTTCTCCGAGAAAAAAGAAAAAAAAAAGTTTTACAAAATCGTTTTTTGTTCCATGTTAAAAAAAAAAAAACTTTTGGAGATTTTGATTTTTTTTAAGGTCTATGGGACAGAATGATTGAAAATTGTAATTTTGCGTCCCTTCCAAGTTTATTTTCCTCGTATGAAATGCCACCACATGTCGGTAAAGGAATTCAAATTTAGGCCTTTACACCTTAGTAATTGCACTCAGGGTAATTAAGCATTGACGATTCTTTAGTGTGCTAACTCCTGTCGTGACACGGAACCTCAATTTAAAGCGTCTATTAAGAAAGACCTGCAACTTTCTCTTCAAAGTGCTGAGCATTTGGCAAAGGAACAGTTGGTACCCTTCTTCTCCATTAGCTTGAAATTGTCTAGGCTGGGCTCGAATCCACAGTGTTCCGACTACGGAGCAAGCACTCAATGCTGTACCAAAAACAGAATCCATTATTTAAATCATTAATAATATTTTAGTTTTGAAAAATTTATTAGGCTATGAATTGAGACTTTCTTTACGAGGGTTATGTATTTTTTTTTTTTCAACAGCTGCGACATTAATTCCCGTACTAACAAAATATGAATCATTTTCCTCAATTGCAATGCAAAGGGTTTATATGCATGCTGAATTATATTTACTAATTATCACAGGAATGGGTGTAATTTTTATTGAAACTCACGAATGATAATTCAGCATTTATGCCATATTTGCTGTGATATAATTAATATTTAGTAAATATATTTTTTAAATAAAAAACTTTGCTACCCCCTGGAGGCCTGGACACATTGCTAGCTGTATTAAACTACTGAATATGTTTGGAAGTGTTTCCTTCCATGAGGATACAAGATTAAGTGTTATTGGAGAAAAATCTAAAAGGCTGGAGCTTTTGGGATCTTTTCAAATTAGATGGTGCTTCACTGCAGTTTATGATACACAAGCTACGTATTTTTTTTTTTAAATAAACTTGGAAAAAGTCCGTATGTGTGTGTTTTTTGTTTTGTTATCATGGTTACTACACTAAATATGCTAAACGTTTAACAATATAGTAACCATATAATCTATAGAATTATTCATCTGAAGTTATCTCAAACAAAGCAACAGAACCTCTAGTGGTTGTAATGACAAACATATTGCCGTCACTAAGACGAACACTCCAAGGATCTCCCTTTAAATGAAACTCTCCCATATTCACCTCCCGAATTAAATATCCATCAGAAGAAAACTGGTAAAGTTTGTTGTTGTTAATCCCAATTGTGTATATATTGCCCTCAAGATCATTGCTAACGCCACGGAGTCCACAACCGGATCCGGAAGATAATATCTTCTCTTCCTTAGAACAAACCGAGGTTTCCATCAGTTTATCGTCTTTAGAGTACAGAATACTTTCAGAGTCTTGTTTTCCGGATATCATCCAGGTGGTGGACGTCTCTATTTCATCTCTTTTCTTCCCGACATCAGAATATATCTGAATAATGTCGCCATTACTGATGAAAAATGTATCATTCATCCAGTATAATGCCCAACAAACAATTGATGTTGAAAATATTTTTTGAACGGTGCTCTTTTTTGTATTCACTGCAATGACTTCTTTCTCCATTGGTAAGGAAACAAATATGTGACCAGCCTTATCTATCGTTATATCCCGCGGTTTTCCAGGCACCGAAACTGTTGATTTGCAATTCAAAGTAATATCACATTCAAACACTCTCTCCCTCCCATAATCAGTAATAAAGATATTTCCTTGATTATCGAATACAGCATTACAAACACCAACACAGAGGTCATTTTTATGCAGCAGTTCGATTTTCCCCTTTTTCATGCAATATTTTTTCGGTTCAACATAATGTCCAAGTGTTCTTATTTTCGACTTCAAATTCAAAAATTCTGAATCTGCCCTAAATGATAGTTTTCCAGTTGATATTTTGACAGGGAAAACACTGGAATCATTCTTTATTTCTCCTTCTGATTTCAATATGTGTTGTCTTTCAACTAAGCACTCTTCATTTGACCCTTGTTCTACCGAAGCAGTCAGTAACTGTTTTTGATACACGACTCTTGATAAGAGATTGGATAGATTTGAAATTTCGCTCTCAAGAGTTTCAGACACATCTTCTTGATATTTGTGAAGTTCCTGTTTAAATGAAGCTCTAAGGGTTTCTAGATGACTGATAGCTTCATTTGTCATTGTGTTCACTTCCTGTTCTATCGCTTCTTTTGATGCTTGCAAGTTTTTTTGTCGCTCCTTCCTACTAGAAATCTTCATTTGTATATTTGTGGCCAATTCCTCTAATTTTGCTTTTAAATCATGTGTAACCTTTTCATTTTTCACGTCTTTTGCAGCTTCTTCTAGTGTCAGTATATCGGAACACTTTCTGTGACGAATTGTAGCACATAGTGTGCAACATGCTACATGATGATCAACACAAAACACCTGAGCTTGCGTGGATGGGTGATCTGGACATGGTATAAAACCAGTGAATGGTGCTTTTTCCTGAGTCTTTACCAAGTGCAAGTCCAAAAAAGAATGGTTGCGAAATGATCTGAATTTTTTGTGATAGTCTCCACATTGCTTGCAAAGTGCTTCGGTGCAATTCACACACCAAGTTGATGCAGGCTCTTGTTTTCCGTCAGAAGCACACGGATCACAAGTTTTACTTTCAGTTTTAATTGAACGTCTGTCTATCAAATTCACTATGAAGAAATTATCCGGTAAATTTTTGAGCCACGTTGTTTTTGATGAGTTATCCTCAATCTTCACGACATTCCTGCAAGTGGGACAATGAAATTCAGATTGCTTTGAAATTGTATATGTATCTACTTTCGTTTTTAAATCTTCAGTGTTTGAAGTTTTATCATCAGTGCTACTGCTTACATAGGCCTGCAAACAAGTTTCACAAAATGAATGCAAACATGGTAAACATTTTGGTTTCTTGTAAATTTCCAAACAGATTGAGCACTTCAATAAATCGCTTAGGAAATCTTCGCCCTCTGAAGATGTGGCCATTATTGATTATAGTAACGCTTATGATCACGTGTCAACACTATCAACAGTTTCCCGCTACGCTCCCACAAACACCTAAATCAACGCTCGTTGTACAAAATTCTTGAGTTTTACACGGTGAAAATTTGAATTTTAAATCATTACTGTAATAATCGATAGAGGTGATAATTTATCATTTATTTTAAATCTATGATCCCTTAAGGTCTGACGACAAATGTCAATCATGTTGCTCGAATATCTGTTTTGTATCTCTTCGTAATATACAATAAATTAATCGTAATTATCAATTTCTGGTGATTGTTGAACTGTTTTCAAAATGTCTACGTAGATAAAGACACCAATATGCTAGTGATTTCTAATAGGATAATCCGATTATACATTAAATAGCATCCTCTGGTATCTTTCACAAATGCCTGGTATGGAACCTTATTTTTGTGAGGAAACTTAATAAAGTAGCAATACTTCAATGACAAATTCTTGGAAAAAATTATGTATTATTGAGGAACGCGTCGTCTGACCTTAAGGTTACATATCACCAGGGACCTATATACTAGTATATAGGTCCCTGTTTATTATCTATATCATTTCTATTCATAATCAGTCAAAAACATAACGTTAGGCTATATCAATCCATGCATTTTATTTTTTTTTGTTTGTGATATCAGGGACCTATATACTATATAGAGGTCCCTGATGATAAATAATTGATTCCTAAGGACACACGCAACGCACCTTACCTACTGATAATTTTCCAAGATATTCTTAATTTAAGATAAGAACTGCGAACGATAGTATTGTTCTCCCGCCTACCTCCAAGTCAATTTTCAAAAGTTAACATATATGAATGATTTTTCATATTTATATAGATATTTATATGAATTTTCATTAAAAAAGATTACTTCTTTGGGAAAACAAAGAGAGATAACTCAGTCTATAATTTTGGTAAAACTTGTGTTTTTCGCTATAGAAATCAACAGAAAACGGAAAATATTTTAAAACGTCCCCCCCCCCTCCGTGAAACAAAAAATCCTTTTTACAGTAATATGGACTGTCATTTTACAAATTCATACCAAAGCTTTTTGTGTTTCACCGGAGGGGGGGGGGGATATGTTTACAGACAAAAAACTACAAAAATGCTTACTTTTTCACAAATTTTAAAGGGGTTTACAACTAAAACATTGTACCTTATTAATAATATACGTCTCTTTTTATATGCGTAAAACATAAGAAAAGATTTAAGGAACATTTATTTATATCCAGGAATATTTCAAATTGTGGTGATGCTTTAAAACCCCATTTAAATGGAAAATATCGTCTACACCCCGTATTTAAAGAGCTGGAATTAATTTTTTTATTTTAACTATTTAACACTGGTATTAAAATTATCAGTCAATTACCAATGAACTGTGCTTTGCATTCAACAAAGATTTTACGGTCAGATTGCCATTAGTATTAAATTAAATGGGTACAAAATGTAGGCGGGAATCGAGAGTTAGCTTGCGTAGTTCTTTGTCGCCCGCTTGGCGCAGTGGTTAGATCGTCTGCTCTAGAGTCGCGGAGTAAGGAGTTGATCCTTACGTTGCGGGTTCGAATCCCACTGTGGGACGTAGAGATCGGTCCTTCAGATGAGACCTATAAACCGAGGTCCCGTGTCGCAGTAGGTGCTGGCACGAAAAAGATCCCTCACTGCTCAATGGCCGTAAGTGCCGAATTTGCAGCTCTCCACCGGCACGTGGTGGCGTCTCCATATGAGTGAAAAATTCTCGAGAGGGACGTTAAACAACATACAAACAAACAAACAATATAATTCAGTATCATCAGATGTTCGTAGACAAAAAATCAGCATGCATTAGCAGCGGTTTTGAAAAGATATCAATTGATGAAAATTCTTGTATAATTCAAAGAAAAATACCGGTATACAAAAATTACTAAACATATATATTCTAGATGTTTTGTTTATCCAAACTTGTTTTAGAAGAAGTTTACAACAGCATATATAGACATATAGAAGTATTGAAACTCTTCAACTCCAGGGAAAACTAAGTTGCCTATGTCCTTAATTAAAATATAAAGACATCTAAGGATGTCTTTGGTGTTCAAATATGCGAATTTGTGCCATTTTCTACATTTTTGCACTCATTTTATGACGTTATTACAAATAACTTTGGCAAACATTATTCAAGTTATCTATAAGAACACAAATTTAATAGATAACTAATTTCTGAGAAAATAAAGTTCATGTTATTTAACCTTAAAATGGATTTCTTTTCAAAGTTTTTCAGGTTCAATTTTGCAGAGTTAAAATTTATTTTTAAAATCCTCTTAAGGGAAAATAGATTAAAAATAAATCCTTTTTATTGATAAAAATTTAATTTAAAACGATTATTAATACAATATTTCACCATTTGCAACTCTTCCAAAGAATCTTTATAGCAAGTGTTGACAGAGTTGTACGTGGGAGAGTAGCAGGAACAACAACTCTGGATAGATATTAATGCGGTATAAAGAAGAATAATGACCTCCATATGACCGGGGTCATTTCTCGCCGTAAAAAAAATATGACCCCCAAATGAAGAAAAAATGTTTTATTTATAGAAGAACCCAAGGAATCAGTTTTCTATGGTGGCTCTGTGGTATAGGATATGGAATAAGATTTTTTTTATATTAATTCGTGGCCACAAAATAAAAGTTTGGGGTCACGAAGTTATATTCATGGCACGAAATAAAATTCCTGGCCACGACATATTCGTACCCTACCCTATATGGTTTTATGCATTACATTTAAGCAGATTAGTAACCATAGCGACAAAAACACTTTTGCATGAAAATAATTTTAAAATTCTTAAATGCTGAATAGAATACATTTTACATATAATATTGTGGCATATTTCTGCCCCTGTATGCAAGTTATTTTTGTATAGATTATTTCAAAATGCAATGAATGATTATGTCAGCATGCAACATAAATTAAATGTCAACATGCAGTATGCTTAAGTTCACATGCAAGAAAAATGTAATAAAAAAAAGAATTTGAGCATTTTCCAAAATTTTCAAATATCGCCCAAAAGTGACTTCCAACATGCAACTAATTTATGTTGACATGCGAAATAAATATGTTGACATGCAACATATTAATGCATGTCAAGATGCAACATAGTTATCTTAACAATTTACATGCAACTTATTTATGTTGACATGCAAGATAATCCTGAACACTGAACATATATAATACCACTACATAAAATGTACTACATGTTTGCATGAAAGTTACTGTATATATTTTTCTAGCGCTTTCAGAAAGTATAAATTCATTGAAATTCCAATGCTTGGACACGCAAAGGATATATTTTTAATTTTGGTTTACAAAAAAAGCGTACAAAACAATCAAACTAAAATTTAAAAAAAAAACGAAAACAAAAAACAGGCAAAAATACCATAAATTCATTTACGGGTTACATAAACAAATTCTTTTTCTGCCTCCGAAGACCGGAAATACAAGGGCATTCTGTAACGTGGATCTTCTTATAACCAGAGTTCAGTAGAATATAGATACTGTGTTAGATACATGTGCATGATAGTATAATTGTGTCGATCTCTTGGACAGCCTTGCTCTCGTCATGAAATCTGAGTTACCTAATCAAACTAACCTTGTTGTTATCATAGTAAAGGTAAAAGGGACCAATGATTTATATATAAAAGGCATGAGAGAGGACCAAAGATCGGTAAATAGTAGGAACCATTCAAACTGATCACAATGCTGAGAATTTTGTGCGGAATCGCTCTAGTGATTGGTGAGTAGTAATTATAGTAAAATTATGATAAAAAAGGAAACGACCGACACAACAAATTATGCATGTATTTAGTTCATCCTTTTAAAATTGGTCTAAAAACAAATTTATAGTGTTACTTAATCATTTTTTTATACAAAGCATTTGCAAAGTCTATAGGGTTGGAGCTTAAATCATATCGATCCGAAAAAATGCCTAAATATGGCAGTGGGCTGAGTGGGAAAGACGTGTACACTGCACAAGTTCATTATAAGTAAGGGGTGGGAGTGAAATTATTGTCCAGTAGTTAAATTTTATTGTTTATATGCATATATTTTTCAAAAAAATATGTTTGAAACTTGATAAAAATTTGGTAAAAATATAATTGACAAACCATAATTATCATTAAAACTTAAAGAGGCTGGGGGGTTGTGGCCATTTTTAGACTATATTGATCTCCTTTAGAAGAAGAGCTCCATATGAAGATATAGAAAATGATCAAATTTTAAAACTAAAATTTTTGAAATTTTTCTTTGCCAAATGATAGTTGACAGCTTAAGATATCATATCTAAAAAATTAAGTTAAATCTGGTGGTTAATTTGTGGTTAATTTGTTGACCCCCCAGCCTCCTTAAGACGAACTTTGATTGGCCTCTCAGAAAGAATATTCGATAATTGATAATGGTGTAAATTAATGTAATCCTTTACTGAAAGTAACTAATAAAGCAAAAATCAAAGAAAAAAAGTACTAGTACCAATTAAATTAATACTTTAATGCTAGTAAACAAGTAGGAATTTTGACTTTGTGTTTTGCAATCAATGGAATGATTTTAAGACAAGAATCTATAAACTGATCATAATACATATACTTTATTGGGACATTTGTTCAGCAATTCAATGTTTTACTTATAGTAACAACTTCCGCCTTTCCAAACCTTCAAGAAAGAGCTGAGACATGCACCACCGACGCTGACTGTCCAAACGACACTTGTCATGGTCATGCTGGAGGAAATGTAATCTGCGCAATTCACCACGGAGACACCGGTGTTTGCCACTGTGAACACCACCACCATACACAACATCCACACCCTGCTGTAAGAGCTGAGACATGCACCACCGACGCTGACTGTCCAAACGACACTTGCCATGGTCATGCTGGAGGGAATGTAATCTGCGCAATTCACCACGGAGACACCGGTGTTTGCCACTGTGAACACCACCACCATACACAACATCCACACCCTGCTGTAAGAGCTGAGACATGCACCACCGACGCTGACTGTCCAAACGACACTTGTCATGGTCATGCTGGAGGAAATGTAATCTGTGCAATTCACCACGGAGACACCGGTGTTTGCCACTGTGAACACCACCACCATACACAACATCCACACCCTGCTGTAAGAGCTGAGACATGCACCACCGACGCTGACTGTCCAAACGACACTTGCCATGGTCATGCTGGAGGAAATGTAATCTGTGCAATTCACCACGGAGACACCGGTGTTTGCCACTGTGAACACCACCACCATACACAACATCCACACCCTGCTGTAAGAGCTGAGACATGCACCACCGACGCTGACTGTCCAAACGACACTTGCCATGGTCATGCTGGAGGAAATGTAATCTGCGCAATTCACCACGGAGACACCGGTGTTTGCCACTGTGAACACCACCACCATACACAACATCCACACCCTGCTGTAAGAGCTGAGACATGCACCACCGACGCTGACTGTCCAAACGACACTTGTCATGGTCATGCTGGAGGAAATGTAATCTGTGCAATTCACCACGGAGACACTGGTGTTTGCCACTGTGAACACCACCACCATACACAACATCCTCACCCTGCAGTTAGGGCCGAGTCATGTACCACCGACGCTGACTGTCCAAATGATACTTGTCACGATCATCCAGGAAATGTAATCTGTGCAATTCACCATGGAAGTACCGGCGTCTGCCATTGTGAACATCACCATCATACACCACATCCACACCCTGCAGTAAGAAATGATAAATGTTTTAATGACACTGACTGTTCACAAGCCACGTGTCACGGACATGATGGAATTGTGACGTGTGAAATTCATCATGAAGGCCACGAGGGCATATGTCACTGCACGCGTAAGTATTTTTGTTTTGTTCAAAATAAAAATGGAAGGGGACGCATTTCTTACCATAATACTTTTTTGTTTGTTTAATTGTTTCTTTACATTATTTACCTCATTTTTTTTCTCTCTCTCTACTAGATACTCAAAAATCATGGGAAGATGAGGAAGACGTTCAATAAACACTAGATCAACTATTTTCTTTCTTTTTTCGTATTTCATACATCTGCCATTGTATTATTAATCATAATATGTATTTATTGTTTTACGTATGTTGAATAAACAAGATATTTACATTTAACTAACGCTGCTTGATTTGTTTTATTGCTAATGGTTGCTTATATGCAGTGTTATCAGTTTAACTTTTGTTTTATTTACATAAAAAATCTTGTTTGATTTTTTTTTATTTATTCATTTATTATTTATTCGATTTCTTTTGAAATTGCTTTATCATTATTATATTCAAAACGTTAAGGTTAATTATATAATTTTTTTTATTGAAGCATCAAAGCATTTTGAGTGACAAAAAAATCACTTACCAATATATCAAATATGTAATCATAAATATACATTTATACAGTAAGTTAATAATATATAATATATAATAATAATAATTTTTCACGAAAGTGTTATGTAGCTACTCGGACTTTTAGTACAAGTACTCTCAGTTCTTTGATTATTTATACCGTGTATCCGATTCCAGAACGTCAGAGAAATGGTCATTCATCAATTTTCATTTACCGTGCAGTCTTTGACTATATGCATTTTAAAATCTACGTCTTGCCAGACAAGAACTTGAATTCAGGACAGACAAGTCTTAATTAAGAATTTGAAAATCCAACGACCCGTTTTTTAATTAGACCAAAAACTGTTGGTGATTGTAAAATCACATTAGATAACAAAATTATAATTGATATTGCCTGTATAAATATATCTTTCTTAATGCTTTTTTAAATGATTAAAACCATTTTCATATTTTAGGAGGCTGGGGGGTCAACAAATTAACCACAAATTAACCACCAGATTTAACTTAATTTTTTAGATATGATATCTTAAGCTGTCAACTATCATTTGGCAAAGAAAAATTTCAAAAATTTTAGTTTTAAAATTTGATCATTTTCTATATCTTCATATGGAGCTCTTCCTCTAAAGGAGATCAATATAGTCTAAAAATGGCCACAACCCCCCAGCCTCTTTAATGTAGAAAAAGACAGTAATTTGCAAAAGTACATTTTTGTCTTATAAGTTCTTTTGTAAAACGGGGCCGTGATGTTTTTTTTTTTTTTATTATTATTTCACAAAAGTGTTATAAAGCATAGCAACTTTTTTAAAGATTCAGGTATCGTACAAATAATTAAAAAATCGTTTTATTTTCAAAATCTAAAATGCACCAAGTCTTGCCCAGAATTGGAAATTAATGAATGAATAACGTCAGCTCTGTAGAAACAATTCTTATTTGCTTAAAAAGCATGCATACTGGTATTTGTATACTTACTGAATGTTTTAAAGCATATATATAGTCATCCAGCTTAGCTCAGTAAAAAGTGTAAAATTGGCTAAAATTTTCAGAAAATACATGGATTTACCATATAGTTATTCAGTTGTTACATGTATTTCCTAAAACGGCCAGTATAAATACATGTATTTACTGCATGGATGATTTAGGAAATACATGAAATTCCTGATTTCACATATTTACTGTAACATACGTTTATACACATGTACTTTATAGAAGATGTTTAATTATTAACTGAAATATGAATCTTTCTTTAATTTTCAATCAGGGTGTCATGCTGTAAATTTTGAATACATTTACCGGTTGGCAGTTAATACAAAATTTTCAACATGACAACTGTGTTTACTTCCACCCGGTGAATATACTTAATACATTCAAAATTTACACCATGACAAGGGGAACTTCTATACTTCAAAATGTACATTGAGTTCAAATGCGCATTCATCTGGCAAAAATAAGGTTATAGACACATATTATCACACTAAATTTTATGTGCAACTTCATTATAATTATACAACAAGTACTTCTTTCATTAAATGATAAAGTTATGTCATGCATTACATTATGTACATTTAACATTATATGAGGTGCTCTTAACATTATATGCGACATAAGAAATAAAGAAAATAATATTCAGTGGATGTAAATATTATTTTATACTACTAGTAGATTTTTATAGCATATTTAAGAAACAGGAAATGAAGAGTAAAAGTATTAAGAAAAAAAAAAGAAAGTACAAATGTTTTCCATTAGGGTCCTATATTAATGCTGATGTGCAATTCGAAATCAATATTTTTTCTAATTATTGAAAATCTTGTAATGGTCGGACTGGAGGGTACGAGGGGTTATCAAAAAGTTCGTGGACTAGCGTCATAAAATTAAAACCGCTTTAGGTACATCAATGAATTTTTACACATTAAGTTAGCATCATCTTCTCTATCTATAGAATAAACCATAAATCATAATTTTAATTTTTTAATAAATTGTTAGTGTTTTTGTAAGCAAAGGTATGTCCAGGCGGCGCAACCTCTAATATGACGTTTTTTTCTACCTGATTGTAACTGAGAAAAACTCTTTAGATATGAGTATTTGTCATCAAAAAATCTCGTTAATTCAGGCATGTGGTACGACACATTTGTTCAGTAAAATTTGCAATTTTTACCCCATTCTGTAATTTCTATGAAATTTTATCGTAAATTTTATATGGAGTGTCCAAACAATTATGGGCTTGAAAATAACGTCAAAAGGGGGGAGGGGTTTCTTTTTCAAACACTCTATAGAGTTTCGCTCCTGGAAAAACTGGTATTGACCTAAGGAATTTTAAACTGGCTACAGAAAAATAAAATGCATCCAGAGTACTTGTTTCTTAATGCCCAAAAAGATTCAGAGAGATGAAATATGCACAGTTAGTGTCGATTTGTAGTCAGGGTGTCAAAAGTCAGTCACGTCGAAAAGTGACGTTGATCATGTGTGGTAGAAATTGAACTCCAACAAGCTAAGTATTCTGGCATAATCAAGTGAGGATCTTTCCCCATATAAAGATCCATTTACAATATTATATGCATTGAAAAAAGCTGCTCATGACATTTTAAATTCATATAAATAAGACGAGTTTAAGTCCTTACTTAACTCCAGGTAATCTCATTAAGATAAGTGTATGAGGTAGAGAGAGCGGACATTAAGAAACAATGACGTTAAGCGGACGTCATGACACTAAACGGCGACAGCGCCGGGTGATCACATAAAGTCTTTTTAATTTCAGAATAATTTGGCAAATTTTCAACGTATCAAGCTAAAATTTTCAACATTTCTTAAACTTTTGTTGTTTTATGTTCCGCATAAATTTTGTAAGCAAAGACTACATATTATTAATTTTATCGCGTCAGTCCACGAACTTTTTGATAACCCCTCGTACGTACCTATTCAAAAAAAAAAGCAAAAAAAAAAAAAGCAAAAAAAAAAAACCCCCAAAAAAAAACAACAAAAAAAAAACAAATTAGTAGACGACCATTTGATTCTGAGAGGGGGGCTGCCTGGCAAAAATTTTCGAGTCAGATTATTTATTTTCATGCCTGTCAAGGACAGATTATTTATTTTTAAGATGATCAAAGATAGATTATTTATTTTCTTCTTCTCTGAAAAAGTGAAAACTCCAAAAGTCTATATCGGGGGGGGAGGGGGGGGAGCATTACGCAGATTATTTATTTTCTTGCCAGTCCCAGTCTAGGATAGATTATTTATTTTCAATATTTGCAAGAATTGGTTATTTATTTCCAAAATCTGCCATCCCACCCTCTTCAGAATGAAATGGTCGTCCGTAAAACAGTTACCAAAGCCATGTTTACTAATTATTTAAAAATATCAGTTTGAAATACATAGGCGGCTTCCTTTCAGCCTCTCATGAATTTGATACTGTGATGTCTTGAAACAAATTTTGTACGAGAGAAAAGAATTTTTTACAGCGAGGTTTTCCTCGAATGTGACATTGTACGACTATTTAAACGGCACTTCGAAACAACTTCCGGAAGTAAACTATGAACCACATGCGAAGCTGAGGATTGTCCCGCGTTTCTGTCTTTGATATTTTGTACAAGTTTCCTGCCCAATTGAAGTAAGTTTTAATAATGAATATGAAGTTAAGCAAACTTTAAACTAAAGACTTATTTTTTTAAAGTTGGTTTCAGTGCTGAAGAATGCATTTCTCTGCAAGCTTTTGTTCAATGTTTTGGTTCAATGGTAGGGAGGAGTGCAGACGCCGTTTCTTGCGGATTGCATGATGCTGCTGGTAGAATTTTCAAAGGGATATTAAGCCCTAAATTCTAGCAGTAGCATCAAAACTGTATGTAAGTGGAATATCATATCAAAACGAAATTTGCTTGCATTTCCTTTCTTATCTTGAAAAATAATTATTTCTTGAGGTTGGCTTTTATACCAGCTGTTTACTTATTTTTAGTAACGGAAGTTTTATTGACATCTCTGCAGGAGGGTGCGGGAGGGATTCGGAGATGATTAAGGATGTGCAAAAGGTCAAAGGGGTAGAATATGGACTGCTGGAAGGGGTGAATCCATACTGGGCTTCCTACTAAAATTGGAATAGATCAAATCAAACAATGCTGGGCATATTTAACTTTTTTAGGTCACCTGAGTCACTCAGGTGACCTATTGCTATCCGTTCTCGTCCGTCGGCGTGCGTTGTGCAGTGTGCGTCGTGTGTTAACATTTGAACATTTTTAGCTTCTTCTCTGAAACCGCTTAACCAATTTCAACCAAATTTGGCATATAGCACCTATGGGTGAAGGGGAACAAAAATTGTGAATTCCATGGTCCCTGCCCCCCTGGGGCCTGAGGGGTGGGGCTAAAACCACCAAAAATAATGCAATCTTTAAAAATCTTCTTCTTTACTCCTGGACATCAAGCAGTCAAACTGTTGGCATCATTGTAATAAGCATTGAGTCCTCTACCAAAATTGTGAAATTCATGGCCCCAGGGTCAGGGGTTCTGGTGCTAGGGTGGGGCTATATAGATCATATAGGGAAAGTGCATTATTTCTTTGAAAATCTTCTTCTCTGCTCCTGGGTATTAAATAAAGTAACTAAGTACATAGTTATGAAGAACAAGAGTGCCTCTTTCAAAATTGTGAAATTCATGGCCCCAGGATCAGGGGTTCTGGTGTTAGGGCGGGGCTCTATTGATTATATAGAGAAAATGCATTAATTCTTTGAAAATCTTCTTCTCTGCTCCTGGGTATTAAATAAATTTACTAAGTATATAGTTATGATGAGCAAGAGTGCCTCTTTCAAAATTGTGAATTTCATGGCAGCTGGGTCAGGGGTTCTGGTGTTAGGGCAGGGCTCTATTGAGTATATAGTGAAAATGTATTAATTCTTTGAAAATCTTCTTCTCTGCTCCTGGGTATTAAATAAAGTAACTTAGTACATATTTATGATGAGCAAGAGTGCCTCTTCCAAAATTGTGAATTTCATGGCCCCAGGGTCAGGGGTTCTGGTGTTAGGGCGGGTCTCTATTGATTATATACATTAGTTAAAATGCATTAATTCTTTGAAAATCTTCTTATCTGCTCCTGGGTATTAAATGAACTAATTTAGTACATAGTTATGATGAGCAAGAGTGCCTCTTCCAAAATTGTGAATTTCATGGCCCCAGGGTCAGGGGTTCTGGTTTTAGGGCGGGTCTCTATTGATTATATTGTTAAAATGCATTAATTCTTTGAAAATCTTCTTATCTGCTCCTGGTTATTAAATGAACTAATTTAGTACTTAGTTATGATGAGCAAGAGTGCCTCTTCCAAAATTGTGAATTTCATGGCCCCAGGGTCAGGGGTTCTGGTGTTAGGGCGGGGCTCTATTGAGTATTTAGTGAAGATGCATTAATTCTTTGAAAATCTTCTTATCTGCTCCTGGATATTAAATGAACTAAGTTAGTACATATTTATGATGAGCAAGAGTGCCTCTTCTGAAATTATGAATTTCATGGCCCCAGGGTCAGGGATTCTGGTGTTAGGGTGGGGCTCTATTGATTATATAGTGAAAAGGCATTAATTCTTTGAAAATCTTCTTCTCTGCTCCTGGGTATTAGATAAACTAACTTAGTATATAGTTATGATGAGCTAGAGTGCCTCTTTCAAAATTTTGAATTTCATGGCCCCAGGATCAGGGGTTCTGGTGTTAGGGCAGGGCTCTATTGATTATATAGTAGAATTGCAATAATTTTCTCTGCTCCTGGGTATTAAGTACATAGTTATGAAGAACAAGAGTGCCTCTTTCAAAATTGTGAATTTCATGGCCCCAGGGTCAGAGGTTCTGGTGTTAGGGTGGGGCTCTATTGATTATATAGTTAAAATGCATTAATTCTTTGAAAATCTTCTCTGCTCCTGGGCATTAAATAAAGTAACTTAGTACATAGTTATGATGAGCAAGAGTGCCTCTTCCAAAATTTTGAATTTCATGGCCCTTGGGTCAGGGGTTCTGGTGTTAGGGCAGGGCTCTATTGATTATATAGTAGAATTGCATTAATTCTTTGAAAATCTTTTTCTCTGCTCCTGGGTATTAAATAAACTAACTAAGAACATATGGTGAGCATGACTGCCTTTTCAGAAATTGTTTCATGGCCCTTGGGTCAGGGGTTCTGGTGTTAGGGATGGGCTCCATTGATTATATAGTAAAATTGCATTAATTCTTTGAAAATCTTCTCTGCTCCTGGATATTAAATAAACTAAGTACATAGTTATGATGAGCATGGCTGCCTCAGAAATTATGAATTTAATGGCCTCTGGGTAAGGGGTTCTGGTGTTAGGGCGGGGCTTTATTGATTAGATAGGGAATTGGCATGAATTCTTTCAAAATCTTGTGTGCGCCTGGGTATTTTTCAAACAAAGGAAGTGCATGGTTATGATAAGGAAGAATGCCTCATGGCCTTTGGGTCAGGGGTTCTGGTGAGGGGGAAAGAGCTCTATTGATTATATATAGTGAAAATGCATAATTTCTTTCAAAATATTTTTTCTACTACTGGTTATAAAGTAAAGAAACAAGTGTATAGTTATAATGAGAAAGGGTGCTTCTTCCAGAATTGTGAGTTCGTGGCCAATGGGTCAGATGTTCTGGGTAAGGATGGGGCTTTATTTATTTAATTTTATGGTGAAAATGCATTTCTTTGAAAATCTTCTATGCTTCTGGGGATGTTCAAGGCAAACAGAGTAAAAGTTTTAATATGCAAGGGTATTTTTACCAGATTTTTGAACACCTGGACCATTTAGTCAAATGTTCTAGTCCTGGCCAGGGCTCTATTAACTTGTATTCTGCTGAGCAAAGTTATTCCCCTTTGCCATTCACCTTTGATAATTAATCAATGTAAATAATGTATTTGAAAGCTTAATAGAATAAGAGAATTATGCAAGATAATTTATTGTATAATGAAAATGTACTTTCATAGATTTAATGACTTGGAAAGTCAGATAGGCAGATTAAGATACTAGACCAATTATTTTGTTGATGCTAATCATACTATTTTTCTTGCTTTTGGGCAACAAAGCTTCATTTTTCAGTTTATGGATCCTCTAAATTGTTGTATTGTACTCAGGTGACCGTTTAGGCCCTTGGGCCTCTTGTTTTTTATAAAATAGTAGTGAATGATAGTGAGCTAAATAGACTTATGTGTAAGAAAGAGGAAATTTGAAATAAAATCTGTATATTCATCGGGCAAATTTTCCTGTGCAACCTTCCTAAAATTTCTTCGCTACCTGGATTCCATGTGATAATGGCAAATATAACAGTCCCTCAGTTTCATAAAGATTTAAATTAATGCAGGGAGCTTAAAAGAAACAAAATAAATTGCATCTACTCTATAATGCCTTTCTTAGAAATATTGGACTTTGCCTATTTAGAATTGTTGCAGACATGCAACTTGCATACAATTCCATGTGACATCACAGTTTACACAGTTTCTCATGCAGTTTGAAGTTCAAAGAGCAGTATCAAATTTACAAGAAGCTGTAAATCTGCACTCTTCAAAAGGGTCACACTGTAAAACATATTAATGAAAATAACAGTGCTCCAAGTTGCGACTGAAGTGGTTGCATTTGCGGCCAAAAAATTTATTTTTTGACTAGAAATTAAAATGAACTTGCATTTTCATGACTGAGAAAATTTGGGCTGCCAATTGTCCATATTTATGATCGGGATTGGAGTTACTTTTTTTTCAAGATTCTCTATCAAGAAAATGTTTGAAAACATCCCAAAACTATGTTAAGCATGGCAAAGACTGAGATTACGTAATGTTGTGACAGCATGCTGTATAGAACGGCAGCAAAATGTTGTAGACTTTTTTAAAATGGAGCATTTGGTCAATATCGCTATATAAATTGCTTCATATTTGTGACATAACAATGTGAAAATGATGTCAATATGTAGATGACTTGTGACAAAAAATGTTGACTCAGTCATACTTAAGCATGGAACGGCTGTAAAGTTAAACGTATGCAGGGTTTGACACTAAGGCACATCTAGTAAATGAGTAAAATGTAAAATGTACTAAAATGTACGTGAATTAGACCGACTGGTCATGTGGATTTAATAAATAAATGTTTAACCCTTATTTCAGTCTTTCAAATAAATATTCTAAAAATTTTTAAAGAACATGAAGAAATTCCTTATTTGTCCAATTGTAAACTTAGCAGGTTATAAGAAGTAAATTTGCAAGTTTGGTCAGGGCTAGTGCTTTTATGATCATCAGGGCTAGTAAAAACTATGGGAAGAAGCCCGACTGGTCAAGTACTCATAAAAGTTAACGTCAAACCCTGGTATGCCTTGGAATTCTTTTGCAGTAGCATATAAATTGTTAAAGGTTTATGAAGATCAAGGAATTGCCATTACTTTAAACTTTAAGCATATCTGATATGATAAAGAGAAGGCGCCAATACTTGATGATTGATCCACATACTAGGATAAACGAAGCACCCTAGAAAGGAGTCAGGTTGTGATGTCACCATGCTGATTCTGGGAAAGGATATTTTTATTCCCATCCTATTGCCAAGAATTGGCCATTTGTGTCAAATTGACTATTCTTGTTAAAAAAAAAAATAACCTGCATGATAAGAAATATAAGATTCTGAAAAATCTTTTTGCTTCTGTAAACAGTACGCTATGGAGCATGTCACATGACCACCTGGACCATGTGATTCACACATGGGCAGAACAGTGGCAGATGTGCATTAAAATTGGAGGGTACTACTTTAAAAAAAAAATAATAATAACCACTGAAACCTAATTTTATTTCTTTTATGGAAGTAATTCAACTAGTTCGCAAACTTTTTGATCACCTCTCGTAATTATTGGTAAAAAAAATAGTCATTTTGTCATTGCCACTTTTTTGATATTACTCTTGGAACTACTGAAATGAAAATTAACCCTCCCCCCCCCCTCCTCCCACCTTTCTCAAATTTTTAGTGTTTATGTATTACTGAAAGATACATCTCTCCTGGTAAGCAAAGTAGGATCAAAATAAATTGTAACAGTGACTCACTGAGAAGTCTTGTTCACCTCAGTATTGGTAATCAGAAATATTTAATGTTAACAATGCTTAATAAATCCAAGTAATCTACTTTGTTTAGTACCAGTATGCCTGTCACCACAGTACCAGACCAAGTGAAAAAGAACATCAGAGCAGTTCTCCTGTCCAAGGTGGGAGGGGTACTGGTCAGCGACCTGATAAAGGACTACAAAAGCCTTCTAAAGGAACCCCTCAGATTCAAAGACTTAGGATTCTCCTCCATCAAGGAATTTGTTGATGCTATCCCAGATGTTTGTAGGTCAGTATTTTTAGCTCACCTGAGCCGAAGGCTCAAGTGAGCTTTTCTGATCACATTTTGTCCGTCGTCCGTCCGTCTGTCCGTCTGTCTGTCCGTCCGTCTGTAAACTTTTCACATTTTTGACTTCTTCTCAAGAACCACTGGGCCAATTTTGACCAAACTTGGTACAAAGCATCCTTGGGTGAAGGGGAATTTAAATTGTTAAAATGAAGGGCCAACTCCCCTCACAAGGGGAGATAATCAAGAGAAGACAAAAATAGGGTGGGGTCATTAAAAAATCTTCTTCTCAAGAACCACAGGGCCAGTAAAGCTGATACTTATGTGGAAGCATCCTGGGGTAGTGTAGATTCTAAATTGTTCAAATCATGACCCCCGGGGGTAGGGCGGGGCCACAATGTGGAATCAGTGTTTTACATAGAAATATATAGGAAAAATCTTTAAAAATCTTCTTCTCAAGAACCACTGGGCCAGAAAAGCTGAAACTTATGTGGAAGCATCCTGGGGTAGTGTAGATTCTAAATTGTTCAAATCATGACCCCCGGGGGTAGGGCGGGGCCACAATGTGGAATCAATGTTTTACATAGAAATATATAGGAAAAATCTTTAAAAATCTTCTTCTCAAGAACCACTGGGCCAGAAAAGCTGAAACTTATGTGGAAGCATCCTGGGATAGTGTAGATTCTAAATTGTAAAAATCATGACCCCCGGGGGTAGGGCGGGGCCACAATAGGGAATCCAAGTTTTACATTGAAATATATAGGAAAAATCTTCAAAAATCTTCTTCTCAAGAACCACTGGGCCAGAAAAGCTGAAACTTATGTGGAAGCATCCTGGGGTAGTGTAGATTCTAAATTGTTCAAATCATGACCCCCGGGGGTAGGGCGGGGCCACAATAGAGAATCCAAGTTTTACATTGAAAGATATAGGAAAAATCTTTAAAAATCTTCTTCTCAAGAACCACTGGGCCAGAAAAGCTGAAACTTATGTGGAAGCATCCTCAAGTAGTGTACACTCTAAATTGTTCAAATCATGACCCAGGGGATAGGGCGGGGCCACAATAGGGGGAATCCCAAGTTTTACATTGAAATATATAGAAAAAATCTTTAAAAATCTTCTCAAGAACCACTGGACCAGAAAAACTGAAACTTATGTGGAAGCATCCTGGGGTAGTGTAGATTCTAAATTGTTCAAATCATGGCCCCTGGGGGGAGGGTGGGGACACAATAGGTATTACAAGGGGGGAGTCTGGTAATGAACAGCATGGCCAAAGTTACTCAGGTGAGCGATGTGGCCCATGGGCCTCTTGTTTTTTTATTCATCCCTCATGTTTGTAGGTCAGTATTTTATATGACTCATCCCTGATGTTTATAGGTCAGTATTTTATATGATTAATACCTGATGTTTGTAGGTCAGTATTTTATATGATTCATCCCTAATGTCTCTAGGTCAGTATTTTATATGCCTCATCCCTGATGTTTGTAGGTCAGTATTTTATATGATTCATCCCTCATGTTTGTAGGTCAGTATTTTATATGCCTCATCCCTGATGTCCTTGAAATGATTATCTACTATTCCACAGTGAATAAAAATGCATAGAAACGTTGAATGAAAGGGAATGGTAAATGGATGATGAGTCAATGGTGAATGAATGCTAAGTAAATGATAAATGAGTGCTGAGTGAAGGAATGAATACTAAACAAATGTTGAATAAATGCTGAATAAATGATTTAGGTGCATGAATACAGGACATGGGGAGGGGGTTACTTTTTTGAGTATAGTCTTTCACTATTATAGTAAATTTTCATTTAGATGCTGGTTCCCCTCTCTTTTTTTGTTCAGACAAGATCAAACTCTGCCAAGTTCCAGCATTTGGGAAAGAAATGTACCAAAAGTTAGAGAAAGGTCTAAATATTTTTTTGTTAGGACGGTTTACGTTGATTTCTCTTGGAGTCCCCCCCCCCCCCCCCCCCCCACACACAATTTTAAAACAGTTGCTAAGGGCCTGAACTTTATTGAGTAAGTGTTGAGCAAATGGTAAATGAAAACTGAGTAAATGGTGAATTAAAGCTGAAAGAGTGGTTAATGAACAATGAGTGAATGAATGCTGACTAAATGATGAATGAGTACTAAGCTAATGGTGAGTGAGGAGGGAATGCAACACAGGGATGAACCAATTTTAAGAAATTCTTGTATTAATTCTTGTGTAATAAAAGCTTTGTTCTTGCATTTCAGATTGTATTTTTCTCAATTTTTAAAACTTTTGGATACATATACCATTGCATTGTATTTCAGGTTGGAGTATGATGAGGGAATCATGGCACACAAACTTTACGGCATCGGGGACAAATCATCGTACATGTCACTCAGTCAGAAAAGAGCGGAAAAGTCCAAGCCAAGTAAATCTCTATAAAGAATCAAAGCTAGAAATAAGGCTCTTATAGTTAAAAACCATGCTTTACCTTACATGAACAATATTTGAAGTATTGTTGGCAAGAACATAGTTTTGATATTTTTGTCTTGGCGTATGGATATAGGTTCTAGAAGTACACCAAGTGTTTTGCTAAAAAAAAATTACTGGAGATGTTCAGATAAAAGCTTATTCAGAGGGAATTTGATTTTTTTTTTTATTATATTATGAAAGACAAATCAGTATTCACAAAATCTTCATAAAATTTAATAAATGTCACTTTATTTTGCATAAAATAGGCAACAAAATGCTGGTCAATTCCAGCCCTCCTGTCTTGGGAATTGAAAATATATGTAAATTAAGACAATGAACAGACATATATCTTTTTTACATCAAGATGAATATTAATTTAATGATTATATTGAAACTTCTCATGGATTTGCTTTGTCTTTAGTGAAGTGTCTTCAAAATTTATTATGTTACTTTTCCCTTTTAAAGGGATGTTTTGACTCATCTCCTCGTAAAATAAAAGATATGAATATTAAGTGACTCACCATAAATCCAAGATGGGTTATTTGAAAGCTGAGGCTTCTTGATCTACATGTAAATGTAAATGTGGCACTTGAAAAAAATTAATTAATTGCTGTGAACAAAGAAATTTTATCTAGTAGTAGTCTTTATAATTTTGATTGGAAAGCAAAATTTAGAAATTTTCCTGAAAAACATTGAGTATACTGTAACCATATCTAATTTGCCACATTCGGCAGAAAATAGCTTCTGCTAAATCAATTGCATCACTTAATTGTCTTTCAAATTTATACATTCAGAAATATGTGAAATCAATTCAAATCTATGCCAACTTGTTGAAAAAACAATTTCCACAAAATATTGTATAATTTCTAAATATAATCCAATTACAGTACTTCATTCCTAAAAATGAAATAATGTTTTCCTGCTTTGTAAACAGGCATGGGTTCTAATTCAAGAAACAGTGGTAATACTAGGCGTGAAACTTGTGCTGCCGACTCAGAGTTACTGCCCAACAGCAAGGGTTTGTTCACTCTGTGTTACCCGAGGAACAAGGAACCAAAGGGATTCGGTGAAATGGTAAAACTGATGCAGACATACATTTAGTTTCTTGGAAAAGTTGGTGTATACAACTTTTCTTTGAATCTGTCATTAATTCTTTCATGAAAGTGCCATTCAATTTAATTAGGCACAATCAGTAAACTTATCTCTCACATGAAAGTACTTTATTAGGGCCCTGCATGAAAATGTGGTAGCCCTATAGGAATAATATTTCCCGTCGATCTGTCTAGCTGTCTGCCTGTCCATCAATACTTTTGTTGTGACACAATATCTCAAACAGTTTCTAGCATAATGTTTTCAGAGGCACCTATAAATTTTGGGGTCATATTACTTTGCTCATCTGTCTTTACATATGTGTAAATGTTTTTGATTCGGATTTAAGAAGACCCCTATTGATTTTTAGGTCACAAGGTCAAGATAAAAAATTCATACATTGCTAAAAATAGTTTCCAGACGAATACTTCAGTTATCCACAGGCCTTTTCAATGAAATTTTGCAACTCCCTTTGACTTAAAGAAGATGCCTATTGATTTTTAGGTTAAAAGGTCAAGGTCAAAAATTCATCTTGCATTAAATGGTTTCATGGTGATAACTTAGTTCTTTTTGAGATTTTGCAATGAAATTTTATACCTCTCATCAATATGACTTAAAAGAAGACCCTTATTGAAAGGGTCAGAAAGTCATGCATTGCATACTAGTTTTCAGATGATATTTCAGTTTTCTGTAAGCTTTTGCATGAAATATTAGATCATAAGTTTTACCTTACTTATAAAAGACCTATATCAACTTTTAGGCCAGAAGCTGAAAGATCAAGATTGACTTTTATTTTCTTTTTATGCCCCTGGATCGAAAGATCCCATGGGTATATTGTTTTTGTCCTGTCTGTCTGTTTGTCCATTTGTCTGTCTGTCTGTTGTCAACTTTAACCTTGCCCATAACTTTTGATTGGTTGGAGCTATGACTTTCATATTTCACATGTGTATTCCTTGTGACAAGACCTTTCTTTGGGTACCATCATATATGACCTTTTGACCTTGACCTTAGAGTTTGACCCACTTTTGCAAAATTTTATGAGACTTTAACCTTGGCCATAACTTCTGAACAGTTGGTGCTTGGGGTTTCAAACTTCACATGTGAATTCTTTGTGACAAGGCCTTCCTTTGGATATCAACCTCTTTGACCTTGACCTTGGAGTTTGACCTACTTTTGAAAAACTTTAACCTTGGCCATAACTTTTGAACAGTTGGTGCTTGGGGTTTCAAACTTCACATGTGTATTCCTTGTGACAAGGCCTTCCTCTGGATATCAACCTCTTTGACCTTGACCTAGGAGTTTGACCTACTTTTGAAAAACTTTCACCTTGGCCATAACTTTTGAATGGTTGGAGCTAGGGCTTTCATATTTTACATATGTAATCCTTGTGACAAGACCTTGCTTTGAATACCAACCACTTTGACCCTTTGACCTTGACCTAGAAGTTTGACCTACTTTTGAAAAACTTGAACCTTGGCCATAACGTTTGAATGGTTGGTGCTAGGGCTTTCATACTTCACCTATGTAATCCTTGTGACAAGACCTTCCTTTGGATACCAACCACTTTGACCCTTTGACCTTGACATAGGAGTTTGACCTACTTCTGAAAAACTTTAACCTTGGTCATAACTTTTGAATGGTTGGTGCTAGGGCTTTCATACTTCACATATGTAATCCTTGTGACAAGACCTTCCTTTGGATACCAACCACTTTGACTTTGACCTTGACGTTTTACCTACTTTTGAAAAACTTTAACCTTCGCCATAACTTTTGAACAGTTGCAGCAGGGCTTTCAAATTTCACAGGTGTATTCCTCAAGACAAAACCTTTCTTTGGGTACCAACATTTTTTTTATCTTTTGGCCTGGATTTTGACTTGCATTTGAGAAACTTTAACCTTCGCCATAAGTTACCATACGGGGGCATCAGTGTTTCACAAACATCTTGCTCTCTGCATTCCCCCCTCCCCTTCCCCCAGTCACCCCTATCTTTTTCCTTTAAGCAGGGGACTAACATTTCTTGAATTAGCTTGTCTAATTTTCCTTTGGTTAGGATTTTCTGAACAATGAGAACAAATGTGGTATTGGAAATACAGTATATTCATGCGATAATATTATTTTTTCTACATATAGACAATATAGATACTCCTTAAACATAAAATTGGATTCTTTAGCAAATCTAGGCCTTACACAATTCATGCATCCATTGCATGAAACCTACCTTTCATAAATTTCCCTTTCACACAAATTAATGAATTATAATAAACTTAATTTTTTTTAGGACATACAGAATAAGTTTGGGGAGTTTGGAAACCTAGAAGAAATTCATACCATTCCAGGGTAATCAAAGTAGCAAGAGAAATGGAGTATAATTAGTAATTGTTTCAAAGAATAAGATTTTAAATGAATTCTCTGATAAGTTTTAACAAAATATTTTTAAATGTGACATCTAATGTTTGCTAACCCACTAATTTGCTTTGTATTTTACAGACTGTTTTTCCTGCGGTTTTCGGATATTAATTCAGCACAGGCAGCCTTAGATATGTACAGGGAGGAATTGGAGCTTCGCCCAGCTTCAGAGAAAACCAAAAATCGCAACTATGTTAGCAAAGACAGGACAAATATGCAAGAGAAAACAACAGTCAATAGAAATGGTAATTTTATGAAGTGTCACACAGGTAAAAAAAACTGTGTTACGTTCTGAAAATTTAAAGGAGATACATGAGACAACGGGAGCTTTGCTTTTCCAAAAAAAATTGGAAAAGCACTTTCATAATCTTAATTTTTTTCTCAGGATGTTTATTTTTTCTAGAAATTCATGAAGAACTTTCACTGTTATAAGTAATGGCTATCTTCTAACTTCTGAGTAATATTCAGAATATTTAACAGAATGGGGGGTGGGGGGGTTTGATCTTTTGTTATGAGTGCTTGGAGTGACAAAGGAACACCCACTTTTTAAAGGGGCCTGGACACAGTTGCATTGTTTACAATTTTAAATGTCTATTTTTTGTTTAAAAAATAACTTCATTTAAATGATTTGAGCTTTCACGGATATTTTAAGGATTCAATGACTACGACATTCTTCATAACATCACGTCAAACATACATGTATGTGTTTGTAAACAGTGCATGAGCTCTATTATTGTTAGTGTGTATGTTTTATCAGGTGTGTTCAATTTGTGTAGTCTTGCACACATCACTGAGCATGGACTGACAATACTTGTGAGTTGGTTTTGCTTTCTCGCATTTCTCCCCTGAACTTTCTGGATTATAGTTTTCATATTTTTCATTAATACACAACAAAGAAACTGGGGGGATAAGCCGAGCCATATGCCTACAAAACGATCGATAAAAAATCAATAAATTCATTTTACAAAAATTTCACTTTTTGTTGAATTAATGTAATGCTTATTACCATTTGCATACAAATTTGACAAAACCTGAATACTGTAACAGCGAAAATGATTCTGATTAACACAACAAAATGGCATCACACTCAATTTTCACAGAAACTGACATAATTTGGATGATATAACTACATTTTTTTAAATAGAGTGGGTCATCGTACCATTTTTTTGAGAACGATTAATGAAAGGCAATGGAAAGATGTTGCTTTTTTCACTTGCAAAAATTTGGTATGAAGACCCACTCTACTTAAAAAATTAAGTTAACTTACTTAAATTTTCACCGTGGTCTTAAAAAATTCTAAGTCCAAAAACGCTTGCTAAATATAGAGAACTGTATGCTATTTAAATAGACATGTAAGTGTGACTCCGTGGTCTAGTGGTTAGCGAGGGGCTCTTTAAAGGGACATTTATTGAGGAAAGTGATCGAGTCATGCTCTGATTTTTTGAATTTTTTTTTTGTTTTTTTTGTTTTGTTTTGTTTTTTTTTTGTTTTAATTTTGTTTTACTTCATAAAAAATGTCTATAGGAATAACATATTTTTCACTGGAAATAAAATATATACATGTAGTAATGAACTTATTTACAGTAAATTATTTAAAATGCCGGATAAAATTATAATAGATATTTGAATACTTTTATTCCCATTTTTATTTATTTTAGATAAAAGCGCTTCTAGATCACCATTATCATTATATACGATGTTAGCATTTTTATAATATCTCCACAATAAGTGTAAACACTCAATATGCAGATTAATTAATAGAATTAATAGAAGTCCTTACCCATGTTAGACATTTGTGACAGTAAATGAAAGTCAACTGTTTAGCTTGTTTAGAATATAAATATCATTTTGAAAACTACGGTAAACATTAAAATGCTTAAGTAAATTCGAACAATTGAGAGATTTTTTCCAATAAATGTTATTGCATAGCCGAAAAACGGGCATGGGCACATGGCTCGTCTTATCCCCCCAAATTCTTTCTACCTTTCTTAAGTATTATGGATAAAGTTTATTTTGTGAAAGTGCAAGGATATGTGTCAATCAAACACATCAAAACTAGTATATGTAGTTTTAATAATTTCCAGATAAAAGAAGTTTCTTAATTTGCTTTTAATTTATTTCGGTGTGAAATGCTCTAGTAACATATAAGTCATGATATTATTTAGAAAATTTTAGAAAATCAAAATTCTTCTGGTTGTAGAATTGCAAAAGAATCAAAACTCAAGATTTTATAGAATAGGCTAAATTCTTGAAAGCATCTGGATGGTTTGACTTTTAGCATCGTTTCTACAATGTATATATTTTGATTTGGATCTTCCAGTGCTTTTTCTTTTATAATTCATTTAGGATTTTGTCTTGGTAGGTTTTATCTTATACATTTGTATTACAAAGAAATGTGTGTAATATATAAGACTTGTGAGTCAATTTCTTCATAGAATTTTTAATTGTTTAACGGTTAACACTTTTTGCACATACATGAATGTATAGTGTATGGATCTTGCCTTATTGTAAATTGCAATAAGGCCATAAAAAATTAATTAATAGTTTCTCAGGCCAAAAATTTCAAAATTCAATGCGGCAGGCAGGTTCTTTTTTTTTTTTTTTTTTTTTTTTTTTTTTGAAGCAGGTGTTATACCCTTTTTTTCATGTCAGTCATTCAACAAAATGATGATATCAACTGATTCTTACTTTTTTTTTATTGTTCTCTTACATTAATTATAATATGTATTCAACTTTAAATAGTGTTATTCCAAACAAAGTTATTTCATAAAATACCATATTAACATAATTAACAAGAAATGTATTGTTTATCTAATAAAATGTCTATCTGTGAGCATTTATATAAAGGGAAATAACTCAATTTTCTTTTTCAACTTGGAAAAATAGAAAATTGAGTTATTTCGGTTTTCAATATATCAATAAAATTGATCAATGCGGCAGTGTTTGACCTGATGCGGCAGTGCCTGAGAAACTATTGATTAATTTTTTTTGGCCTAAGGCTTGTCTTTGTTTTTGCTTCAAAGACTTTTTTTTATACATGTATCGGACCTGCAATCTGGTCCTTATGCAATCTGGTCCTTTCTTGGTTAAAAAAGTTTTCTGTATCTTGTATGTTTTGTTTGTTGTTTCTGTGAGTTTTTTTCTGTGAGTATTTCTTAAAGTTATGGAGTACAGAGTTACAGCTAATTAGAATTTCTTAGACCTGTCACCAGTAGAATTGTTTTCTGCCAGTTACATACCAAGAATAGTAAAATGGACTGGATGTGTAGTACTGCCCCATGCAATGACACAGTGGGCAAATTTTTATGCCGTGGCATATAGTGTTTGTCATGTCCATCTTCCGTCCTTCCATCCTTCAGCCTGTCCTTCTGTCGCACTTTGTGTTTAGCTCAGTTCAAAGCTTGGTTTCAAAGAAACTATTCAAGATATTTTCATCAAACTTCATATGCTGATAGATATTGGTGAGAGCTATACAACTGCATCAACATTTTTTGATCTTGACCTTTCCTTTTACCTTGACCTCACTTTTCCTAAATTAGTGTTTAGCTAAGTTTTAAAGAAACCATTAATGATATTTTTTATCAAACTTCATATGCTGATACATACTGATCAGAGCTATTCAACTGCATCAACATTTTTTGACCTTGAGCTTTCCTTTGACCTTGACCTCACTTTACTTAAATAAGTGTTTAGCTCAGTTTTAAAGAAACCATTCAGGATAGTGCCATCAAACTTCATATGCTGATACATACTGATGAGAGCTATTCAACTGCATCAACATTTTTTTTACCTTGAGCTTTCCTTTGACCTTGACCTCACTTGACTTAAATTAGTGTCAAACTTCATATGCTGATACATACTGATGTAAGCAATTCAACTGCATCAAAATTTTGACCTTGACCTTTCACTTGACCTTGACCTTTTATCAAGTTTAACTCAGTTTTAAAGAAACCATTCATAATGTTTTTTATCAAACTTCATATGCTAATACAGTACATACTGATGTAAGCTTTTCAACTGCATCAACATTTTTTGAGTATGACCTTTTCTTTGACCTTAATTTAATTATTAGTGTTTAGTTCAGTTTTAAATAAACCATTCAAAATATTTTTATCAAACTTAATATGCTGATACGTATTTGTGAGAACTATTCAACTGCATCAAAAATATTTGACCTTGAACTTTCCTGTGACCTTGACCTCACTTTTCTTAAGTTTGCATTTTGCTTAGTTTTAAAGAAACCCTTTAAGATATATCTATGTTAAGCATAATTTGGTGAGAATTTATCATCTACATGTATATCCAACTTTTTAGATTTCAATTTTAAAAAAATTATTCAAGATATTCTCATCAAATTTCATACACTAATACAAATTTTCATGTTGCATTACTAATATACCCTTGGTGGGGCATTCATGTCCTATGAACATATTTCTAGTTTTTTGTTTACTATTTTTTCTGTGGAATTTGAATTTAGAGTCAGACTGATCTGGCCAATCACTGTTTAAAAATTTTTAAGAATTTTATATTCCTTTTTTTTTTTTTTTATAGATGATGCCCCTCCCACCTCAACAACAGAAGACATAGAAGTTTTCATTGGAAACATCCCTTTTGAGTCTGACCATGTACACACACACTGCAAAAGTTTTTTTTTTCCTAAAAAATTTTCAAGCCTTACTTATACTATTGATAACATTTGTCAATGTGAGCTTGTTTAATCTTTGAATAACTATGTTTTCATTTTGCTTTTGTAGGATACGTTTAAGAGAGATGTACTTTCTCAATATGAACCTTACGAAGTCCGAATAAAGACTGGAAAAGGAAATGATAATAAAAAAATGTATGTACATGTATTTTTTGCCTCAATTTTTTATATTTTTTTAAATTTTAGAAGGTATTTTATGTAACTGTGAGAGTTTTTTGGATTGTATTTAATTCCCTTAATATCTGTTTAAAGAAGAGTAAAAAAAAAAAAACGTTTATATTAGTCTTAATAAAATTCACCTCAAAGTCAATATGCAGAATCAGGTGCCCCCCCACCCCCCTTCAAAGAAAAAAAAATCTGTTTATGCATTTCTTTAATTGTAGATTTGCCTTTGTAAAATTCTATGGAAGGGATAGAGCCCAGGCAGAGGCCCTCATATCTAAATATGATGGATTTAACTACGAGGGTAGAAAGCTGAATGTTCGCATTTCTACTCAGGATCCTCCTCTCCGGGATTCTAGGAAACGAGCAGGTCAGTAAATTGTGGCCACATATCATTTTGATATCAATTAAATAATTCACACTAGATCAATAGAAAGTATTGCAAAGAAAAAAATGTTAAATCCTCAAGAAATCCATGATATACTTTAATAAACAGTTGAGATGTTTGGTGTGTGAAAATTTTACTATAAAACATGTTGCCTGATTTCATCTGTGATGCAGGTAACCTTTGTTTAGCTATTTGAATATTTTCATACAAATGTGATTTCAAGTGAACTGTGAATGCTTACTTTCCAGGTGGATCAGGAGGCAAGGGTCCTTCACCAAATATCAATAAAAGCAGAGTGGAGCAGCCGGAGCCAGCTTTTGATGAGGAAGAAGAGAAGTGGGATGAAGTTACAGAGAGTAATGGCACCACCTCAGTGTGGGGGAAGATACCACGTGAACCTATCACATCTCCAGCACCACCTCAACCCTCTGATGTAATGAGTGAACAAATACTCCAGGACGAGAAACCTCCAGTGAGTGCCATGGAAGAACTCCACATCGACACTGACTTCCATGTTAATACAGATTTTAGCTTCGCAAAGGAGAAAAACAGCCCAGCTCTGTCTGTCCAGAGTCGGAGAAGTCAAGGGAGTCAAAGGTCAAGGTCAGAACAACTTTCACAGTCTAAATCAGTCCTCATGGGGACTAACCCCCAGCCAACCCCAAAGAAGAGAATTTCAGGAGGGTATCCCAGGCAAGAGAATAGCTTTGATGATATGCCAAGTCTTGAGCCAGCAGGAAGTGGCATGTATCCTCCAACCCTACAACCAGCTGGAAATGGAAGATACCCTCCTCCCCATTGGCAGACAGGAAGGGAGATGTATCCCCCACCCCTACAACGAGCAGGAGATGGTGCATATGGTCATCCCCCTCCTCTTCAACCTAGTCAGCAGGAACCACAACTCTTTGTCAGTAATTTTCCCTATGGAGATAGCGATGTAAGTTTGATAGATTATAATTCAATTAAGTGCATCTAAGCATGTTATACTCTAAATAACTCATAAGTAATGGTGAAGGGAACAGTTTGTCTGAATTGATGAGGGTTATATATGGGTAAATTCTTAAATGTTAACATAGTTTCATTGGATGTTAATTAGTTCTCTCCATTTATATAGAATTTTTAACTGAATGATTGTTTTATTTGAGTAAAAAGTTCTAGAATGCAGATGTAGTTTTTTTTTATTGGATATTAAATTGTCTCTGTTTATGAAGAGATGGTGTGTCAGTGAAATTTAGCATGTCTTTTTTTTATGTAGGAGGAATTGCTGGATTTTTTCTCCCAGTATGGTGCTTATGATATTCACATGATAAACAGAAATGATCCAAAAGTTAGGTAAGAAATGAAACAAAACTAGGAAAGTTGACATTGATTGAAAGATGGAGAATTACCCCTCCTTTCCACCTTTCATTAAATGAGAAAAGTAAAATTTTGAATCTCTTGAAAATTACATGTAAGTAAAAATAGATTGACCTCATCTGTATTTGTCTGCAAATGTGTAAATATTCTGTACATGTTTTTGCAAGAAATCTCGAGATTTTGCTCAAGACTTGTAACTAATGGGTATCCAACAACATTTTTAAAAGTTTTTTTCATGAATGCATTTGTAGTAGATTAAACTTTGTGTTTTCAGCACACGTGCGATGATTTATGTGTCCAACATGGAAGAGGCGGAGAGAGCGGTCCTCGAATGTAATCAGATGATCTACAAAGGGAGACGACTGTTGGTAAACATATCCAAGTACCTCGGTAATTCCACCGTCAATTTCCTCTCATCGTACCATGAAATGGAGAATATCAAATGTACTGTAACTTGTAACGGTGAGGAACTACGTGATTCTATAAAATTCTCATTCAGGTTTAAGATAAGTTAAGTTAATATTTAAAGTATGTTGTCTTCACTGAAGTTTAAGAAGATTTATTGGAATCGCAATGTCAGTTTGTTAGTCTGTAGATCTGTCTGTAAATTATTTCGTCCAGATATGTTCTAAAAGACTAGTACTTTAACATTGTTCTTTTTTTTTTTTTTTTTTTTTTTTTTTTTTAATTTTTTCACTTGTTATTCACCATATAAAATTGTGCACCTGATGTTTTCACCCTCATTCTAAAACAGATAGAAATTATTGGCTTCTTTATTCCAATAATTTTTATTAAGGACTTAAAAAACTTGAATGACAGTTGAAAAACATTAGACTTGAAAGAAGTTTTCAAATGTGTTATAAAATTGGTTATGGTTAATTTTTTGTTTTAATTCTAAAAAAAAATCAATTTTTATATTTCTTTGAAAAATCATTAAAAATAATGTGACAAATAAAGAAATAAAATTATTAAACTGACTTAACCTACTTTATTTTGTTGTAGAGGGGAGAACAGCAAAAGTTGATAAGCCTTCATTGACAGGCCCAGGTAAAAATTTGACATTTTACAAAACAAATGAAAAACACATTGCATTCTTGACATTTTTTTTTCTCTGCATTAGAAATGTATAAAAATTATCTGAAAGGTTTATTTAGAATTTATTAGACTGATTTGAAATTTTTACAAATTTCTTGTATTGATAACGTTTGTAGGTGGCGATGGTCCTAAGCTACATCAGCGACACTCCAGCCAATCGTCAGTAGCTTCTTCACAGGACGATGCGTCCTCCTCCTCCTCCACTACGACCAGGAGCTGGCATTCCATGCTTCAGACGTACAAGATCATTATGAACACCCTTCATCTTAAACCATTTAACATGCGACCCGAGACAAAAGAAATCATCATCTACATCACCTCTGTGTTTAATCAAAAAAATTTCTGGGGACAGATTGTCAGAGATGTAAGTTGAGCATTAAGTGTATATTTTTTGCATGCAGGGTTCTGTAGCTTTCAGAGTCTCTGATTTTCCATTCCATTATTTTTTTAAAGACCAGTGAACTTCAAACCCGCAGCTAAAAATAAAGAAAATTATTTATTCTTTTATCTTATTATACTGTAAGTCAGACTAAAGAAGCAGGGTACATTCTTTTCAGTTTGCATTACAAATGTACCATTAGGCAGGGCATTCATTTCCAATGGATATATTTCTATTTTAAGGTCAACACAAATATTTGTTGAAATATACATGTATGGTGAATATATATGGCAAACTACCTGTATATTCCACACACTAAAAGTAGTCTGTTAAATGTTGAACTACTGTTACCAGGAATTTGAGACATATAAAGGCAGGAATCAAATATAAAGCTCTGAAACTTAAATCTGTAGTAATTATTAGGAGGACAGTCTTCAAGCATTGACTGAGGTCATGACAGCTCTTCAGGATTCAGAACACAGAATAGGTCCCACAAAAGGACTGGGTCGATGTGCTGCCCTGTACAAGGACGAATGGTACAGGTAAGTCGTGAATAAGATCTGACAAATCAGCTTCAGATTTTGTTTTCCTTTTAGTTTGCACTTCACTATATTTTTACTAGGGTTTTTTTTTTTATATGCATCATAATTTCTTTGACTCAAGTGTCTTCCTTTGCCACCAGATATTAAGAACTCATAGTTAGCATACTTTTGGTTTGCATTTCATCATGTTTTTGTGGTCATTTTTGATCTGCATCATAATTTCCTCAACTCAAAGTCTCTTCCTTTGCCTTCCACTAACTCAATGTAAACATACCTTTTTTCAGCAAAAATAAATCTCTTTCAGAGTGCTGATTAAATGAACATGTATTTACTTTGTATAGAGCCTGGATCATAGGAGAGAAGTCCACCCAGAGACAGGTTGATGTGTTCTTTGTAGATTATGGAAACACTGAGATCATAGACAAAAGGAAGACCAGTCTGACCACACCCTTCATCTGGGAGACTAAACCTATACTCCAACCATTTGTCATCTCAGGTAATTAAAGTACATGTGTATATCCAAAAGGTTATTCACTCACAGGGCTCGACATTAACGCTAGTTTGCTTGTCTGGTACTAGTGAAAAAAAAATTAGGAACAAGTGAATATTGCTTAGCACTTGTCTGATGTGCAAATGGTTTTTTTTTATGTAACAAAGTCTCCAATTCATAAAAAGAATGACTGCTGAAAAGTTTATTGGTACTTTAATACATAAAAACCGAACTTTGATCCCGATATCAATTGCTATGTATTTGAGTTCACACTACATCGGGATCGAAGTACACTAATTGCATACTTCTGCAAAAGCATTGCATAGATCTTAGTTTGGATTCTGTTTGATGTTGACAGTTTCACTTGTGAAAATTTATGTTGTTGTCAGGACAAGAAGTCTAAATAAAATTTTGTTTTATGTGTTTGTTGTATATATTGATAATATTCCAAATCAATCAAGCACTTATATAATGGACTTCATTTAAATTGGTAGTTTTCAAGTTGACAGTATTAGATCTTTATTAAAAAAATTTCGAACAAGTGAACTTGATGTTCGGACAAGTAAATAACTTATTCACTTGTCCAAATGGACAAGTAGGGAAAAAAGTTAATGTAGAGCCCTGACTCAAGTCAGGAATTTAAAAATGTTTTTAAGTAATTTTTGTTGGTTTTTTTTTTTTTACACAATATTTTATCTTTTTGAAATGCTAGCAAGTATTTATTGCACTTTAATGTAGATTCTAAAAATAGAAACTTTCAGTAAATCTGACCTGTTAAACAGAATTTACAGGGTAATTTGTTCCCTTTTTCTTGTAGAAGGCTGTAAAATAGATATTAAGGAAAGTTCTTTAGTGAGTGCAACAATGGTCAGATATGGAGTGGATGAAACAGTAAGTTGATTTGATTAGAATTGGATTTAATAAGAATTCTCCATGGGTATATCAAAATTTCCCTTCTTGATTTTAACTCTCTTTTTTTTTAATGATGCAATAATTGATAATAATCTGGAATTAATATGACATATTTTATTTAATAATAGGGTAAAAATCTGAATTTTCAGGGTTATGCAGTAGAAGTGAACATTGATGGATATGTTCAGTAAAGAGTTGTCTACCCTCCAGCAGAACATATAGAAACCATGCTGGACTAAAGGGACTTAACTCCTCTTGGGTATTGGTTGCTTTTCTTATGTTAAAAAAAAAGGTTTTATACAAATGTTAATATAAACAGTGAGTTGTGCAACATTTATATATTAATGTTGGCTAGTGTTATTCTTTAATGCAGTGTACTATAAACCTGGATATGTATTCATAAGTGTACAAATGTGTTCAATTATGTAAATTTGTAGCAAAAACCATACATGTAGGGGTTATTTCCATGATACCAATATGTTATATTGTTAATGCTCAAAGATATTGGAATGTAGGCAAAAATTTATTGTCAGATTTTTTATCACATGTGCAGTGTAAATTACACCACACATAGATTTCCAAATTTACAGTATTATTGTTTTTGTAGACACATGACATTAAGAACAAGAATTCTAAAATTCCATATCTTTGGTGTTTTGTATCAAATGAAATAAGAACATTTTTCAATGTATAAATGCTCTTTTCAAAGGACCAGATTCACAAAATTTTCAATCGCAAAATAAAAACTTCTTGTAGATGTACGGTATCAAGTATACAGTACCAACCAGACCCAACCTGACACCAGAGCAGTCCCAGAAAGCAGTCCCCGGGACTGCTTTGGGACCGCTCTGGGACTGCTGTGGGACTGCTCTGGGACCGCTGTGGGACTGCTATGGGACTGCTCTGGGACTGCTGTGGGACTGCTCTAGAAAGCAGACCCAGCAGTCCCAGCAGTCCCTGGGACTGCTTTCTGGGACTGCTTTGTTCACTCATGCGTGAAAAAGGTTCTGAGTGACATGATAGCTCCGCCCCTTGTGTATTCTGAATTTGCACTCCTTGTTGTTGTTTTGTTTACTTTCTGCAGAGAGGTGTTTAAGATAAAAACAAATATAAAAAAACAAGTATTAATTTCTAACAAAAATTAAATAAATAGAGATAGTTATACATGTAATTATTAAATGTCTTCAGAGGGCTGTAAATTTACACAATTGTGGTCTAGAATTAATTTTAAGAAAATAAAAGTAGTTAAAAAGAGAAGTCAGGGGATGATTTTTATCCCATAAATTAAACTTCAATACAGGTGTTTGAAAAAAAAAATATCTATGCCTATTTAATAAATTAATGCTGTCAAATTACATATGTACTCAAAGTTTGCATTAGCACTTTTTAAAAAAAAACAAACAAAAACAAACAAACTTGTCATTTCAGTATGATACATGTATTCAGAGGATTTTTTTTCCTAATTGAAAAAGCTAATACAATGCTTAAAAAAGAGCACTCCATGCTATTTTTTACCACCCTCAAATAAAACCTAATAATTTATTTAATGACCATGAAATAAAATTATTCTACCATTCTTCTGTTACATAAACAATGTGAACAATTATTCAGGGATTTATTTATGAATTAGTTTTTAATTTATAAACAAGTTATTAAAAGAGTACATTTATTTAAAAAATAAACATTTGAAAATATCGGGAATTGCGACTTGTTTCTTATTTCTTTTGTTTGTGTTTACCTGGTCGGTTAATACAATGGGATTGTATAAAATGGTGTCAACATCTGAGGTTTCAATCGCCTTTGGGCATAATTAACAGGAAGTCAATGCATGTTATTTGGGTATCAGTGTTACACATCACTGAACACGCTGGTCAACATTGACACTAATTTCAATCTATGTCCTGCAAAAAAATCTTAGTTTCAATAATTGTGTATAAATTTATTTCGGGATTAATTAGTTTTGATCATAATCTTAGGGTTCCATTTGCGTGATTTACAGATGTACACTCGAACATTTATATAATAAAACACTTAAAACTGAGAATCTAAAGATAATTAAATTGGGAAGTCATTGAAAAATAATCATGACTGAAATATAATACTTGGCAATGTTTAACGAAGAATTTTTCAAAAGCTCCAATACTTAAGAAAAATGCATTCAGAGTATAGTATGGGAATCGGCCTTGCTCTATAATTATTATTATCAATTTAAAGCTAATTCTGGTATAAAATATACAATTCAAGTTTAATTTTCTATATATAAAAAAATAAATATGTTCATGTTATTAATAGGTGTGAACGTCTTCTTCATTCAATAATTATAATTTGTTTCTATATGCGTACTGTGATTTTCTTAACAGTTCAGAAATGACTGTCGCGTAAGAATTGTAAATATTTGTTGATACTACTCAGAAAGAATTGCTCATCAATTTCAACTGCCTTTTATATAGTTACATTGTTTATTGGTAATCTCATTCTGAGTAAGCTCCGCCCATTAAATTAATTAACCCCGCCCACTGGGACTGCTGGGACTGCTTTCTGGGACTGCTGGGACTGCTTTCTGGGACCGCTGGGACTGCTGGGACCGCTGTGGGACTGCTGTGGGACTGCTCTGGGACCGCTTTGGGACCGCTGTGGGACTGCTTCAGCAGTCCCAGAAAGCAGTCCCCGGGACTGCTCTGGGACTGCTTTGTGTCAGGTTGGGTCTGGTTGGTACTGTACATGTAAATGACGGCCTTCTTCTACAGTTTTTGCTAAATTTTGTCATAGCTAGTTCATCAGAAATTTGAAGTCGAGCTACATAGCTGTGCAGTCACATGTCAGAATCTGTAGGCTGATTGCCGCTAAATATCAGAAAACTTGAGACATGCCTTATGTGTATAATGTTTATGCTATCTTTAAATTTAATGTAACCTATTTGGTTTGATCAGATGCATGTATGGTCCTATAAGACACTGTGACATCTGCAGGTAAAATCACTAATTTTCAAGAGGGTTTCATTGTCGTTTTCTTGCTATGGAGAAACCCATCTAAATTTTGTACTTCACAAAATGTTAAGAGTTTCAAAGAGTATTTGTAATGTTTCTTCATTCCAGAAATTAAATCCCATGAACTAGTATCTTTTCCTAAAGTAGTAAAAAAGTTGTCCCCTTAAAATAAGTGTGATTTTACAGTATTTGGTACAGTATTTACTGTTTTATTAATTGATATTAAGAATTATTTTATATATGAAGGAAGATAATATTAAGTCAGGTAGATATCTTACCTGTGGAGGAAAGGTGTTGTTTTAAAAAGAAATATTAATAATAATTAAAGAGTTGCTTGTTTTTTCCTCGTGGATATCCTGTATTTCAGGATCTTTGAAAATCTTCTAGTTCTTCACTTTATGAGAAATTTCAAGAAATTGAAATTTTTTATTGTGTTGCATAAGTATCCTTCATTACAATAACAATTTTCATAAAATGATGATTTGGAGTTCTTCTGTTGTAGTGTACAGTAGTGCAAACACAAGGGTTTTTTTTTTTTTTTTTTTTAAATACATGCGTGTATTTTTCTGTTCTTGAGGTCAGAGATGACTACAGTATACTGAACTATACTATGTCAGTGTCTTCAATTTTTTTTTTCTTCCACTGATGGAAATAGCTTAATTTAACCGATTATAGATATATTATTTATGTCAGTTTTTCAAAAGTTCTTGAAGTTTAATTTGAAAAAAAAAAAAAATTGTGGCTTGTCATCAATGAGTCACAAAATACCTGTCTTGTGTGATCTACTCTGTTTTTTCCTTGCAATCCCATAAAAAAGAATTTGAAGAAATTCTTGTTCCTTAAAATGGAGTAAATCCTGAAATTTAAAATTAACTTTGCTACATGTATATTGAGAATGTTCAAATTGATCAGTGAGAGATAAATGTATGCATTCTTACAGACAGGATCTTGTTTGTATCAGATTATTATTGTTTACATACTGACTAAATTTAGATATTGATTATGAAATGAAAAAAATTATCATGGGTTGAAGTGTGTAAGTATCTTTTTATGAAATATGCAGCATTTATTGCTGTTAGAAAAAATTCTAAGTCTTAATGTTGATCTTCGTGTTGCCGTCTGTAAATTTGTTCCTCAAATGTTGGCAAAGGTACATCATTAAAAAAGAAATTGAATTTAATTGTATTCATATATGTATATCAGAAATGCAATGTATTAAAAAAAAAAAATACATGTATACCATTCTATTTATAGTTTTAAAGAACTATCTACCCTTAGTAGTGTAATTGACATATATATAGACATATATATATATATATATATATATATATATATATATATATATATATAAATATACATATCACATGAATTAAATCTAGATTTTAAAAAAGGAAGAAAAAAAAGGTGTTGATCAGGTATATACACATGTATTCTCCTCTTTATAGTAGTACATATGTGTGTTGCAGATTGCTTCAATATTTTTTTTTAAAAGTCTGCCATTTCTTCTAATGCATAGATTTCTGTAATCCAGTTTTCCTGGCAGGTTTGAAACATTCATTTTAATTGTTTTTTATGTTTTGTCTCTGTCAGACTGTCAGTGGTTTTTTATTTTATTTTTTAAATCAAAATTATTTTCTGAAATTTCATGCTGCTTTTCTTTAGATACATGTATATGTAAATGTTTAAATGACTATTAATTATTGTGTTATTCTTAATAGAAATTTAAAGTTAAGTATTTTTCACCTTGCTGGATCCACCCTTGTTACTTTTGGATCCACCTCTCTCTATATGGGAATGTTTCACCATGACATTGTACTACAAATTATATCTCTTGTTTTCTCCCCCCACAAAGCTAAGGAAAGCTTGGTGGAGTTGGCCCACATTGTAACATGAAAAATGTGTTATTTGAATTCTCAAATAATAAAGATCTTTTTCTTATATGATTTGTTTTTATGTTTAGCTATGGATAAAATATGGATCTCCTTCACAACAGTAGCTGTTTCTTGATCCCCAAAACTGTTCATATTATGGTGGGGAAATGAGAAAGATTGTTTGTTGCAGTTAGATTAATTGTAGTCATAATACTTAGTGCTGATTTCACATCAAACTACGGATGCTGAGTGAATTGCGCGTGACAACAACAAAATAAAAAAAAAATTTAAAAAAAAAACAAAACTTTTAAATCCTATCAAGGACTCCCAACCCAATGTTGTACAATGTAACTACAACTTAGCACAGTCTATGATAATGATTTCAATCAAGTTTGTGATGAGACTGTGCATATAAAACCAAACTTAAAGATACATGTAGATAACCTATCAACATTATTCAAATATAAATCTATGAGAAATACGGCTGATTTCTGAAAAAATTAAGTTATTTATCCTTAACATGCGATATTGCCGTTATTCACTCATTGACTAAACATTTGCATAATATAAAGCAGAGATCAAAGATCGTTTCGTCTACGTTGTTCAAAGGGACATAATTTGAGTTATCGAACCTTGTAACAAAACTTAAATTATGCAAATTTCAAAAAATACAAAAAATCACAAGGAAGAATTGTATAAATAAGATGTCTCTGGGTGGTGGATGGTGGGGGAATATTCCTGATATATATACATTGACAAGTAAAAGAATTGTGCTGGTTTAAATAAGTGTTTGTTTGCAGCTTACTGCACTCTGCTGCAATGCAATACATTGTAATGCCAGGAAAATTGTCCAACTTGGTCAATGTATCGCATTGTAATTCCCGACTTAATTAACTGTTCTGTTGAATTAAAATATTCTTGTTCAATTTTTATCCAACGGTTATTTCAAGAAAAAAAATGGTTGAGAGTTGGCAGTTTTTTCAATGTTATTACTACAAATAGACTTGATGGAATAGATTTGTTTATAATTACTCAATAAAATTTAATAGCACTGTTCATTTACATTGTTATAGTTTAGTTTTACTTGATAATCTTAAATTTTAATGCAACATACATGCATATCCAAATTTACAATTTATAATAAATTGGCAAAAGACTTTA